AGAAAGCCCGCGCGCACCAACAAAGACCCGACGCAGCCAAAATTAAATAATAAATACATAAATAAGTTTATCAAAAAAACCCACCGCATTCTGTTGAGTGAAAGAAGCCTTACACAAAAGAGTACAGTATACAGTATATTTCCATTTATACAAAGTTCTAAAGCTTTAGATATTGAGCACTTCAGACGTGACTAGTGTGAATCGAAATGTAATATAAGCATAAAATACACATGGGACTCCAAAGACTTAGTACAACTCCCCCCAAAATATCTCACGAATAACGCTTTCATACTGACTATAAATTTAAATAATACTTGCATTAAAATATATTATTAAAATTCATTGCTTCTTCTCTTTTTACCTGTGTGATGTGAACACTAAAAAATTTTTAATTACATATGTAATTTAAATGTTTTGCAATATACTTCTGTTAGGCCATGATGATCTAAAACTTAGAAATAAAATAAAAGGGGAACCACATATAACAGACCCACTCAGGGATTATCTGATTCTCTGGGGGTAACAGGAATATGTCTTACTATTTATTATTGATTAGGGCCCAAACTCTATAAAGTTTAGATATTAACTTTGCAAATGATAAGAAGATTGGTAAGCTGCAAATGGTTTTTGTCTGGTAAAGAGGAAAATGCTTTCTGATGGAATGATTTCTGCCCAGTAAACAGTAAAGCCCCAGAAATTAAGGTTTTATCACCCTGTAAGACCAGAATTAATTTTGAATCTCAGTTTTCAATCTTATTTCAGCATTCTTGCTTTCGATGACTAAATATACTTCATCTCATCTACAAGCTTTTGAATTAACTGTACTATCTTGCTGGTTCCCTATATTCTGAGCACTCACTACATGCCAGGCACTGTACTTGACTTACATTAACAAGTTCAAGTCTCAGAAGAGTCCTAAAGGCAGGAACTATTATCCCCATTTAAGAGATAAGGAAACTGGGACTTCGAGAGAATTTCCCAGCTCAGTTTCACTCAGAATAAAACAAGGTATAGAGTAGTTACACAGCTGAGATTTAAACATGTCTGACACAAGTCTGGTCTCTCAGTCTCTATTCTACACTGTGTCTTTGTTATGAGGGAAACTGTGCCCCCCTCAAAAGAGGTATGTTGAAGTCCCAACCCCCCAGGACCTATGAATGTGACCTTATTTGGCAATAAGGTCTTTGCATATTTTATCAAGTTAAGATGACTAATATCTAATATGACCTCAGAAAAAGAGGGAAATTTGGACACAGACAGGGAGAGCTCCCATGTGGAGAAGAAGGCAGAGACTGGAGATTGAAGAAGCAGCCAAGGAACGCCCGGGGCTACCAGAAGCTGGAAGCGGCAAGACAGGGTTCTCCCCTAGAGGCTTTGAAGGGAGTATGGCCCTACCAACACCTTGATTTCGGACTTCCGGCCTCCCAAACGATGAGTCAATAAATTTCTGACGTCTTAAGCCACCCAGTTTGTGATACTTTGCTACCGCAGCCCGAGGAAACTAACATAGTCTCTGAAATGGACAACATTAGGCGGCTACATGGATGTGGAGGTGAGAGGGGTACCACCAGCAATATGGGACCCACACCTGGAAGGCATCTTTCCTCTGTCCCTCATCTGTGCTCGCAAAATGCCCTACCCCAACTCACAGGGCGCCGTGTCAGGACAGACTGTGTCGGGGCCTTCACAACACACCGGGGGCTTTCAGAGGTAAAAGCCTTTGTAATGGGCAGAAGGGATTACTGGGTGTCCTGTCTCGCACGCCCTTCTGGGTTAGCTCCACCTTTCACTGTCTTAAACTATGATAGTAATACTAAACCGATGGTAAACTGAGAGCAATGCAAAAGATTCCTGCCTGGCGGAATACAGTTGATTATTTCCCTGTGGTTATTGACCAGTTCAACATCCACTCATAAATTTATTTCAGCATTCCCGAGCTCCTACCTGTGTGTGTTCTTGGAATTCTCCTTTGAACTGGCCGTAACACTGTATGGGTCCCCTCATTCATAAATGAGTGAAATGAAATCTTTGACACATGTTCATCTTGTATCTGCATAAGAGCTGATTTTCCTTTCCAAAACAATATCATCCTTCCTCGCCTGCTTCCCCACTTTGGCACCTCCTCCAAAGATGAGAAAACACCCGCACGGAGTGACAGGTGATAAAAGGAGGATTTCCAACCTCAACACCCTCAGAAACCCTGGAGTCCTCTGACTTACGCCACCAAGATGGCAAAAAACAGACTCGGAGTTACCTCTAAAGAGTGTTAACACGCTGGTTAGCAGGTCCTGCTTGTCAAAGCAAAAACTGCACGGGACAAGTTGGACAGGCAAGAAGTCTTCATTCAAAGTATTCCAAAAAGAGACAGAGGCCAGAACTCAGTCTGAACTCAGTGCAGCTGAAACACAAGGCAGTTGGGTTTTTAAGAACTGGGGTGGGGGGCTTCCCTGGTGGCGCAATGGTTAAGAGTTCGCCTGCCAATACAGGGGACACGGGTTTGAGCCCTGGTCTGGGAGGATCCCATATAACGCGGAGCAGCTAAGCCCATGCGCCACGGCTGCTGAGCCTGCGCTCTGGAGCCTGTGAGCCACAGCTGCTGAGCCTGCGTGCCACAGCTACTGACACCCGTGCACCTAGAGCCCGTGCTCCGCAGCAAGAGAAGCCACCATAATGAGAAGCCCGCATACCGCAATGAAGAGTAGTCCCCGCTCACAACAACAAGAAAGCCCATGCACAGCAACGGAGACCCAACGCAGCCAAAAATAAATAAATAAAATAAATAAATTAAAAAAAAAAAAGAACTGGGGTGGGGGTTGAGGGGGTAGTAGGTCATGTTTGCGAATTGGCTTCACCTGAAGGAAAAGGAAACTTTCCTGCATCTTCTGGACAAGGGGTAGTTTCACAACTTGGAGAAAGGTCCCCATTGAAGTCAGGCTTCTAGGGAAACCGGGAGATAGAGGTGCTATCTCCTTTGATGTTTATATTTCAAAGAGATAGCTCCCAGGTCCTTGTGAAACACATTTCCTGGCTTGTAAAACTGGCAAGAGGCTTTTAAACAGATTTATATACATCTCAAAAGAGCAGAGAAAGAATTTACAAGGACAAGTTTTCTAAAGTAAATGCTCTAAGAAACAGGAGGTCCGGGGCATCTGTGGTTAGGTTGTCTGGATTCTGTCAGGGACCAGGGTGAGAGGGAGGACAGTGCTTTAGAGGCAGGAACAAGTCTATCTAAAGTTTAGTTAAGCTGAGGGGAAAGTTACAGCCCTCTTGTTCATGCTCTATAAGGCCGGTCTGCCTGGGTTCCAATTTGGACTCCGTTGCTTATTAGCTGGGTGACCCGAGGCAAGTTACTCAACCTCTCTGGGCCTGGTTTTGTCATCTTTATAAAAAGCGGATGATTAATACTTAACTCATAGGATGGTTGTGTAGATTAAATACGTTGATCCAAGTACAGCATTTAAACCAGTATCTGGCACATAATAAATTTATACTTGCTGTGGGTTAAATTACTTTACCATTCTGAGCCTGCGTTTTCCCAATCATCCCATCTGAGAATTTAAATGGAAAATTAAGTGAAATGATGGGTGCAAACAACCTTAGCCCAAGCCGGCCATCTGGTAAGACTCTTTTAAATGATTAACATTCCCATAACTATAGTTACTATTACTGATACTGATATTGTTTGTTGCTCAGGCTCTTATTCCCTATTTTGTTACTATAATCACTATTTACTGTTATTTTATTATTAACTCACACTACTCCCTACTATGAATGGTAATATCAGCAGTATTACTTTTTTTTTTTTGGCCGTGCCACGTGGCTTCCAGGATTGTATTTTCTGGACCAGGGATTGAACCCAGGCCACAGCAGTGAAAGCGGGGAGTCCTAACCACTGGACCACCAGCGAATTCCCAGTATTACTATTATCTCACCATTCTGCACACCTGCTTCCCCTCCATCAAGCAGTCCTGAAGCCTGCCAGGGTCTTCCTAAGCCAGGCTTTTCCTCCCTGGGCGCCCAAGCTTTCATCTGATTGGAGGAGATGGTGGACTCAGGCCCGAAGTCCCCAAGAGGAAGCAAAAGTGGACAGCGGCACCCACAAGCCCTCTGGACAGGTGGGATGCCGGGGCCAAGCCACTGAATGATTCTTTTTTTTTTTTTAATCATTAAGCTAGGCTATTTTTTTATATACAATTTTTAAAGGTTACTTTCTATTTACAGTTACTAAAAAAATATTGGCTATATTCCCCGTGTTGTACAATGATTCTTAAGAAACCAGATCGATGAGGGGCTTCCCTTGTGGCTCAGTGGTTAAGAATCCGCCTGCCAATGCAGGGGACATAGGTTCCAGCCCTGGTCTGGGAAGATGCCACACGCCGCAGAGCAACTAAGCCCGTGTGCCACAACGACTGAGCCTGCGCTCTAGAGCCTGTGAGCCACAACTACTGAGCCCACGTGCCACGACTACTCAAGCCCGCGCGCCTAGAGCCCGTGCTCCGCAACAAGAGAAGCCACCGCAATGAGAAGCCCGTGCACCGCAGCGAAGAGTAGCCCCCGTTCGCCACAAGAGAAAGCCCGCGCGCAGCAACGAAGACCCAACACAGCCAAAAATAAATAAAAATAAATAAATACATTTATTTAAAAGAAAAAAAAACCGACGGCAAAGTTGGTGGGGCCTGAGGACCATGTACAAACCTGTGAAACAAAGCTCCCCTCTGCTCCCAAACATTGCTAAGAGTACCATTCACCCCTTCATACTGCTCAATGGTCTCGCCCGGTCTCCCCCTCACCAGTGGGATCACCCATAAGCACGGCTAAACCTCAGGAGGTGAAAAGTGTTCAAAACCAACGTCCCCCGGGGCTGCGACTCCGGATCTCAGTTTCTCCATTTCAGTCTTGGCATTCCCACCCTAGCTCAGCTTCAGGAGGTAGAAATATCTCAGGTAGGTTATACTGAGGTAGGTCAGCAATGAGGTAGAAATAACTCCTTTAAAACACTATACAAAGTAATTAAACTTTTATTGAAGCCTTATGTGCCAGACATTGACCACACTGAGGCGTAAGGCACGGTCCCTGCCCTTGAGGAGCTCACAGTCTATAAAAGAAGACAAAGAAGATGCCAAAAAATGACTCCCACAAAGATTCAGGGGCAGGAGGCAGAGCCCTCAGACCCCATCTCTCCTATTCCAGGTTGACTGTGAGAAAGCGAATACGAAGCTTATCACTGTCTCTCCCACCTTCCCTGGGACAGCTCTGACTTCCCTCTGACCTAGGCACCAGGAGAAGACCAGGGAGAGACAAAGATGAGGGGGATACAGTTGCTGCCCTCAAAAAGCTGGAACACCCTGGCAGGATATATACAATAGTAACTTTCTGTCCCAAAGCCGCAAACCAGTGCAGCAAAAGCTAGGGAGAACAGGGGCTGGGCCAGCCCAGTCCAGTGGTGGAAGAGGGAGTAATGGGAAGGGAGGGTACCCATGGCCAAGGAAGTAGGGCAAGAGGTAGAGAAGTTCATAGTAAGGTGACAGTAGCCACAGCCAACAGAAGAGCCACCCACCCCACTGAAGGAGCTGCAGAGCCTTTATTAGGGGGCCCATCGTTTATGGGGTACTGCCCAATATTTCTACGGTCTTGGTGGCCACTAGTACCTCCAGCCGAGGTAGATTCCTCCACCTGGGAGGTCTCAGGTTCGACCTCTTTTGGAGAAGTCTGGCTGGCTGGGGCTGGGGTGGGTTTGGTGGTGGAAGTGGAGGACGGGGCTGGGGTGGGTTTGGTGGTGGAAGTGGAGGCCAGGGTTGGGGCAGAAGTACTGACAGAGTTGTTTGCAGCCAGAGTGGTGGACGGAGGACGGGGCAGCAGGACAAGGGGTGGGAATTGAGAGGAGAAATAGGTCTTGTTGCGGAGGTCCGAGTTACAGCGGGACCCCTGGCAGCAGGAGCCGCTGAGCGTGAACCCTGGGCCTGTCGCTGAATCCCGGGTGCAGGACTCATCCTGGACGCAGCCCCGGACAGGCAAGGATACAGTCACGTTAGCTGCAGGAGGGAGACACAGGTAGGTCCGTGGTTGGAGGGAGGGGGTAGGCACAGCCAGAATGAAACTTAGGGGCAAGACAAGAGCAAGAAGACCCAAAACAGGGGACAGAAGGACTCTGCATCCATTAAACCCAAAGTCTCAATTAGGGCCCCACTTTGAGAAACACTGTCCCACTGTCTTTGGCACACGGTGGACCACATTTCCCATAGTACTTTGAGAGGAAAAATGTGTAGAATGAACTACAAGTCCCACAATGCCTTGGAAGAAAGGTTTGAACTGGGATACAACACCTCTCACACGAGGAAAGAGCAGAAGACCATTGCCTCCCTCTCTCTCCCCCCACCCCTCACACCACCCCCACCAAAATTCAGTCTTAGAGTCAGAATTACATTTGCCATAATACACCTGGCAGAGGATGGAATTTGAAGAACATCTCCCATGGTTCCCTGAAGCAGAGGCCAGGAGGCTGAACTACATCTCTCCTAATACTTTGGGACAAGTGGGGACACTAACCGTTCAGTTTTAAGGAGTCAGAACTACACTACCCACGATGCCTGGGCAGAAGCTTGGAGGCTTAAATACATTTCCCATTGTACATCCTCCCATTCTGCACCTGGCAGGCCTCTATGAAAATTGTATTTCCCCAAAAACTCTAGGACAAAAGCATTCCTATTCCCGTGCTATACTGGGAATAGGACTGCATTTCTCAAGATGCTCTAGGACAAGCCACGAACTTAGGCCTTCAGTTCCCAGAATGCGCTGAGGTGGGGGAACCCTTTGGGTAAAGGTCTACCTACCACCCATGAGGCCTCAGAAAGGCTACAACAACCTGTGAAGGCCCGGTGCTTCGAGCTCACTCACCTGCCGTCAAGGTGACGTTGCCGTCGAAACAGCCCTTGTACAAGTGGTCGCTGGCGTTGTAGCACCTCACGACGGGCGGCGCCGTACCCTGGCACTCCTTGCGGCTCAGCCCCATGCAGCTGTAGCACTCGACCCCATTAGGCTCGTAGTTACTCTCATTGCCTGCGAGAGGGGCGGGGAGGAAGGAAGGGGTCGAGAGGGTTCAGGAAGCACAGCCTTGCTCCGCGTCCCTCCAGACCACGTCTCCGCCCCTCGACGGACACTCAGCTCAGCCTATAATCCCGCCCCAGGGCGTGGCCCCGCCCCCAGCCCCTACGGAGTTCTCCCGCCTTCCCCTTGCGACCGCCCCTAGCCGCTCAGCCCAGACATGGCTCCGTCCCCGAGCTTACGGCCCTGCCCCCACCGACCTGCGGGGATGAGTGCTCGCGAGGTGAGGTTGAGCTTCGCGTTGCAGCGGTCCTGGGAGCACTGATGCAGCTGGACGAAAGCCAGAATCCCGTAAAGGTCCAGTCCGCGATCATTCTTGCCCGGGAGTCCCGAACCGCAGCCCCGCACTGCCACCGAGAATTGCCCGTGGACTGCGGAGAGGGGAGGGGGCGGGGTCAGGGGGGCGGGGCCTGGAATAGACCGGCACCAGAGAATAGGCCAGGGTGGGAGGGCGAGGGCCTCAGAAAGAGCCGATCCGAGGGGAAAGAACCAACAGACCGAGGGGCGGAACCTGAAAGAGAGGAGTCTGAGGGGACAGACAGGCTGATAGACACTGGACACAATCGACGCGGGAGGGCCAAGAGTGGAGCTAAGACGGAGCACGACCATAGGGAGTCGGAACCGCAGGAAGCAGCATCAGAAGGAGCTGAGACCGACAAAAAAGGCACAGGATCAGAGACGGATGGGGCCTCCTAGGAGCCGTGGCCGCAGACAGGGGCGGGTCAGAGGGGCGGAGCCTCAGCCTAGGGATTTTAGGAGAAGACCTCTAGAGGGATCTCCAAGGCCCCCATTGGATGGGGGAGGCTGGGGTGGAGAGGATTCTGGCAGGGACAGAAGTGGGTAGGGAGATCTCAGTGGTCCAGGGCAAATGGATAGGGTGTGCCCTTGAAGGAGACGAGGTCCCAGATCAGGGTTCTCCCAGTTCACGCCACCCATGCGCAACTCTCCGTCCTCATCCCTCTAAGCCCTAATGGCGTGGTTGTGTTGAAGGGCCCACGCCAGGCTGAAAGGGAAGGATGGGGCTGCGTTCAAGGGGGTGTGGCCAAATTCAGAGGGAGGGGCGGGACCATAAGGAGGAGGGGCCCAGATGGAGGAGCGTAAAGGAGTACGCAAGGACCCGGAGGCCCCACTCACTAGATTCCACCGCCCCTACGGCCTCTGTGCAGACGTCCATGCCTGGCGCGCACTTCACCGTCTTAGTCTTCTGCGGAGAGCATCCGTCATCGGCTTTCTGCACGCAGCTGTAACACTCCAGGGCCTGCGCTCCTGGGGGTACAGAGGCAGGTAGAACTGAGCTATCCCTACTGAAGCCTCCTCCCCCAAAGGAGAAATAGTCGTTCCCACTCCCTCTGTCCCTGTGCAATCCTATTGCACACCCTTTTCCAGGGCGGCGTAAGGAAAACCTAGCCGCAAGTCTGAGGCCAGGAGATACATTGTGACCCTTTCCGTCAAACGTCCTATGCCTGCAGTGGGAGCATCTTTCCCACAGCCCTTTATGCCCAAGGTGGGGGATCCCTGCCATAGACGGGGGTGGGGGGACTTCTTCCTACAGTTCTCCACTCAGGATGGGAGAATTTTACCCACAGTCAAGTCAGCTCGGTGAGGGATCCCTTCCCACAGCCCCCCGTCTGCTTAGGATGGAAGAAATTTTCCCACAGTCCCCTCTGCCCAGGGTAGGGAACCTTCCCGCAGCCCACCCCCTCCCCCGACCCCTCTGCCCAGGATGGGAGATCCTTCCCACGAGCCCGCTCTGTATGGGGTGGGGGAACCCTCCCTAGAGCTCCCACTCTATCCCCTCCGCCCCCTTCCGGCAGCAGACTCACCTTCTAGAAGCAGCAGCGGAGGCAGCAGCAGCAGCCAGCCCGTTGCCCAGATCGCTACCCGGGAGCCTGCTTTCCTGGCGGGGTCCATGGTTCCGTCCTGCTCTCTCGGCTTCCACTCTAGCTGTGCCGCCTCCCAACCCGGGTCCTCTTACGTGAGCCCAGGATGAGTAACCTCGCCCCAGGCAACCCTGGCCTTGCCCAACCAGGCCAAATCAGCCTCAGCTGTGGGGCGCGACACCCGCCCCTGGATGCGTCACCCACCACTGCCAAGGATTGAAAGGGCGGGAGTCAAGGTTCCCTGGCAGTTCCCAGGAGAAAGTCTGTGTGTTTGTGGCGGTGGGGAGAGGATATAAGGCTCACACAGAGGGTCTACTCAACATTCAACACTCAGTAAATGCTGAGTGAGTGCAGGCTTTGGGCCGGGTGATGCTGGAGACTAAACAGAACCAGTGCTGGTCTTCACAGAGCTCACAGTCTGACGGGGGAGACAGATATTAATCCAATAATCATACAAATTGTTATTTACAGTGAGGACAACGAAGGAAGAAGTGTAGGGAGCTACAAGGAGGTGTGGCGTCTAAAAGTGGGGGCTGGTCAATGAAGCGTCCCTGAGGATGTAAATCATCCAGGTGCCTTACGATCTTAAAGACTTGAAGGTTTAGCCAGTGAAGCAGGTCGGGATGGGGGCAGAGCACATTGCAAAGCAGAGGGGTCAGCATGTGCAAAGACCTCGGCTGGAAGCAGCATGGACCCTTCGAACACAGAGAGGAGAGCAGTGTACCTGGAGCTCCTGTACCTGGAGCTCAGGAGTGAGGGGGAAACTGAGGCAAAAGAGGCCATTCCAGGCCCTGAGGAGAGGTTTGAATTAATTCTGAGAAAGATGGAGAATGTTTCACGGGGTCTAAATCAGCTCCGAGACACAATCAGATTTGCTTTTTAAACTATCAATCTGGCAAACGATGCAAAAACTTATCAAGAAATGAATTCACTAATCCCAGGGAATTATGCAGCAATGAAAACGGGCCAACTACTGGCCTGGGTGCCAACGTGAGTCTCAAAAACTTTATGTTGGGAGTTCCCTGACAGTCCAGTGGTTAGGACTTTGCCTTCCAATGCAGGGGGTTCAGGTTCAATCCCTGGTTGGGGAGCTAAGATCCCACATGCCTCGCGGCTAAAAAACAAACAAACAAACAAACAAAAAACAGAAGCAATACTGTAACAAATTCAATAAAGACTTTAAAAATGGTCCACATCAAAAAAAAATCTTAAAAAAACCCCCAACTTTATGTTGAGCTCAAAAAGCCTTAAACAAGTAGAAGATACCATGGGACTCCATTTCTATGAAGTTCTAGAACAGGCAAAGCTAATCAGTGGTGATAGAAATCAAAATAGGGGTTACTTTGGGGAGGGCATTGCCCCAAAGGAGTAATAGTAAGGAACCCCTACTATCTTCATCTGGGTGGTAGTTACACATGTAACTGCAAACATGTTAAGAATCGACGAGCTGTACACTGTACATTTTACATTTATGCACTTCACTGAAGGTACACTATTCTTACACTATTCTTACTATGAAATTTTACTCCTGCCTCTGCCATCCTCTTGCTGTGTGACCTCAGGCAACTCCATCTCCCTCTCTGAACTTCAGCTATTCTTACCAAAAGAAAAGGGTGGGGGAGGAGTGCCATTGTGGCCTCAGTAAAAGAGGAAAAGAGTAGAAGGGGCAAGAGAAGGCCGGGAGACCGGGGAGGGAGCAGGGCAGTCTCCCGGGTAAGGGAACAAGAGCCTCTGATGGCTGGGAGTTGGCTGGCGGCTCACAGCGATGTCTGGGTGCTCTGTTACACCCCTGCACCAACACATATGGGGCCACACTGTGACCACGATGGAGTGAGACACAATCAGGACCACTGCCTTCTGTGTCTGAACACAGGAAAAAACAAGAACACTGTGCAAACCACAGAATGACTAAGCTTCCACATATATAAGCTAATAGAAGTGATTGCTTGTATCGGGTTGGCCAAAAAGTTCGTCTGGGTTCTCTGTAAGAGGTTACAAAAATCCGAATGAACTTTTTGGCCAACCCAATGTTATGTATTATTTATATTATATTATTATTAAAACTACAGCTTTAGCCTTGCTTTGTTTCTCCTGACTCACAGATAAGATTTACCTATGGCAGGAAAAATAGCGGCTGTGTTCATAAAGGTTTTATCTGTTCTCCGGACCCCATGGGGCACCCCCATCGCCAATAATGACTAGCACCTCAGTCACCTAGGTTGGGTTGCTTGTCATCATGCTGAAGCTCAGAGAGAGAAAGTGAGTGGCTGTGAAGTCATTCAACACTTCCCCCTACCTCCCTGCCTCCCAGCCTTGGAATCCCAGCCTCACTTATGGTTTGCTGTGTGACCCACTAAGTGTCTTCACCTCTCTGAGCCTCTGAGGTGTCTGTTTTATAATAAAAGGAGGAGAGTCTTTCATGGTGGAGTGAGGCAGTGGACAAAGTATTAAGTCTGGAGTCAGACAGACTGAAATTTTACTCCTGCCTCTGCCATCCTCTTGCTGTGTGACCTCAAGCAACTCCATCTCCCTCTCTGAACTTCAGCTGCCTCCTTTGCCAAACAGGTCTGAAACCCCCTGTCTCCAGAGGGATGGAGTGAGGCAGGGCTACAATTCTATTATTATTGTGCACTCAGGAGGCCCTTCAGGTCCCAGCCGTGTGGGAGAGTTTCAGGGAGGAACCCCAACTGGCCAGACCAGAAGATCTGGTGTCTTGGGAGGGAGTGGGACCCAGGGTGGAGAGTCTCCTCTTGCTCAGGCCTGCCGAATCCCGGGTGCTGACACCAACCGCCGCCCCCCCACCCCAAACCTGGCCCAGGACCAAAGAGCAGAGGGAGGTTTAAATACCGGACCTCTACTTAAACCTACTCTGTGACTCTCCCCAGCTCCCCTCCACAGGGGTCACTGCAAAGAGGTTTAGAATTGGTTCCCCAGAGAGATGAACAGAGGAGTCAGTGTGGAGGCACCTGGTCCCCAGCCCTGGAGTTCATGCCAGGGCCTCAGACAAGCCTGGGGCCATTTCCACTATGGGTTTCGTGTCCCCTGGGGAAGGGCAGGCTCTGAGCCCAGTGATGTTCCCAGCCTGCCTCAGACCCACTCCTTCTGGGATGTGATGTCTGGGATGCGTCAGAGAAGGGATGGGGTCAGGGCCCGGGCTGGCTACATAATTTGCGGGGCTCAGTGCAAAATGAAAATATGGAGACCTGGTTCAAAAGGCAGGAAGGAGTGTCATGAAATGTACTAAAGGAGAAATGCTCTTTTCCTTTCTTCCTGCATCTCTCTTGACCCCATATGGTGTCTAATGTCATGTTCCCTCAGGCACAGGGATACTGGTGGGGCGAGCACAGACTCTTACAGGTGTCTAGAGACCCTGCCCCACAACTAAAGCAAACTGGTTGCTGGGTTCCCCTTCCAGCAGCCGCCCGCCACCGTGCCCCACCTGAGATGCCAAGAGGCACAAGTGCCTGGATTTCCCGTGAGCACTCAGGCCCTTGTCGGGGCTGGAGGATGGCGGAAGTCACAGGGCAGAGGCAGGGAGGGGAAGGCAGACAGAACCTATTCCGGGGAGGTGGGAGATGGCAGGTGTGGGACCTCATTTGAGCTGAGGCTCCAGTCCCCCCAGCTCAAGCTCCACACCCTTCAGACTTCACTTACAAAACACAAATTCAAATACAAAATTAAGAATTTCCGGATGGCAATCACAGATGATTAAAGCCGAGAGGGCTCTTCTGAACATGGGACCTGTCAACTGCACTAGTCACATGCCCGTGAAGCTGGCCCCAGTAAGGGGACAGTTTGCAGAGGGGCTAAGGGATGAAATGATCCAAGAATCTAGATGCCTCACACCTGGAGGTAGAGGCCAAGGAACACCTCGGGTCCCCAAGGGCCTGGGGGTTGGAGTGTTTGCATTCCGGGGTTTCAGGAGCACATCTGGATCCTTAAGGAATCCTGGGATGGGACACCCAGGTCCTGAAGAGATGGGAACCAGAGGGACTGGATGCCTAGTTCCAGAGAGGTTTAAGGGAGGAAATGACCTGTACCACACAGTGACAGCCTAGAGTGGTCAGGGAGTGGTCCTGTAGTCGGGGAGCTCAGGGGACTGCGGAAGCCCACCAGGGATCAGGGAGAGCTTCCTGAAGGAGGAGACACCTTAGGTGAGATGTAAATGATGAAAAGTTCTATGCCTGTCGTTCACCATCGCCCCATCCTCAGCGTCTTTCTTATCAATTTATTCCCTCAACACCTAGTTTGCCTACAGGCCATTTGCTGTGTGCCAACCACTCAGTAGTGATGGAAATAGCCCAACCCCTGCCTCCTGGGGCTCCCGCCCAGCACGGGAAACACACCCATCAAACACACGGATGACCTAGAGCAGTCAAAGCCGTGATGGGGAAGGAGCAGGCAGAGTGATCAAGGCTGGGATGGGAAGCCCAGAGGGAGCATCTGACTCAGCCAGGAGAATCAGGGAAGGCTTCCTGGAGAAGGAAACATCTGAGCTATGACCTAAATGATGAGTAGGGTGGAGTGGGGAAAGGTGACTTAGCAAAGGGAACATTACATAAAGACCCACAGGTGAAAGGATAGCTTTTTTTTTTTTTTTTCCACTTTCATGGGATGAAATGTGCCCTCTGGTGCTGGGGACACAGCCATGACCAGGACAGCCCTGGCTCTGCCCTCAGGGAGCTCCCAGTCCGTCAGGACATAGATCCATCACCAGTGATGACCCACAATGTTCAGGAATGGGACAGGAGGGCTCAAAGGGGGGTACCTGATCCAGCTGAGGGAGTCAGGAAGGGCTTCCTGAAGGAGGGGACATCCCAATTAAGACGCGAAGAATAAGGAGCTAGGTGGTTAAGGGAAGGGCAGAGGGAATAACATATGTCACGGCCTGGAGGGCAGGAGCCTAGGAGTTCCTAGAAATTGCCAATAGCCCAGTCACGTCCAAAAGGGTGGAAGCAGGCGGGCCCACAAACTGAAAAAACAAAATTGCCACAAGACTAAGGACGCATGCCTCCCCAAACCCCCGCCCCTCCCAGCCATGACCTTGGGGTTGAAGGTCTCCATTCCTAAAGGGTAGAACAGCTAAAGGATGCATGGTCTCCGAGGTACCCGTAATTCAGATGTCCTGCCTAGGGGTCGAGGGGCCCCGTACGCCTGTGCTGGGAACCTCAGCAGTAACCACTGTTTTTCCTCCAAGTTTAATTCAGTATCACAGGAGCACCAATAAATAGTTCCTTCCCGCCCCCGCAATCTTCCTCCCACCCAAGGCAGAGCCTCAGCGGCTGGCTTCCGGTCCGGGAAGACACCTGCAGCCCAGAACTGCGCAGCTCAGACCTGCCGAACCGCCGAGCCCACAAAATTCCCGGGAGAGTTCCAAAGGGGCTGGCCCAGGATTTCCAGCAGTGGGCGTGGCTTCGAGGCAGCGCGTGCCGGGCAGAGCCTCGCTGGGATGTCCCCCTGAGAGGATATGTTCACTCAGGGGTCGTGGTTCTCGTCAGCCGCTGTCACGATGACGTCCATCCAGATGCGCATGGCTTCTGGGCTTGGCGCCGCCATGTAGAAAAGGCGTTCGTAGGTTTTGACACAGAACGTTAGGCGAGGGTTCGGGCTCTGGAATAAGAAGCGGAGTGGAGATGGTTATAAGTCCACCCTAGTTGGAATCCCAGCCTTGCTATTTATAGGCTTTGTGGGGTTGGGCACGTTATTTACACTCCCTGAACGTTTCCCCATCTGTCTTCCTAAATGATGCTACCTACTTCGTTGGGTTATGAGGATTAAATGAATTAACACAGGAAGGCGCTTAGAATTATGGGAGCAAGAGGAATTCAAAAAGAGGATGGGGGCTTCCCTGGTGGCGCAGTGGTTGAGAGTCCGCCTGCCGATGCAGGGCGCACGAGTTCGTGCCCCGGTCCGGGAAGATCCCACATGCCGCGGAGCGGCTGCGCCCATGAGCCATGGCCGCTGAGCCTGCGCGTCCGGAGCCTGTGCTCCGCAATGGGAGAGGCCACAACAGTGAGAGGCCCGCGTACCGAAAAAAGAAAAGAAAAGAAAAAAAAAAAAGAGTACGGACCCATGTCCCAATCCCCCAGCCTACCTTCTCCTATATTAGAAATAAATACAGACATTCAAATTTCCCCTGCCCCCAAAATCTAGGTCCCCCTGGTTTGTAACTGGGAAAATCCTAGTGTCTACAACCTATTTATTGAGTACCTAGTTGCCAACCCTGAATTAGGTAAATCCTTTATGTCCATTATCTGTTTCTAACCTTCTCAACTCTGAAGAAATGGGCTGAAGAGTGCCGATTCTGCAGGTGAGAAAACTAAGGCTGGAGAATGGAAGTCACTTTCCTGATGTCCCACAGCTCGGATTCCAGACTAAGCTCTAAAAAGCCACAGTTGCTCTCCAGAGCTTTCTAAACATTGTATCAGTTTCTGGCACTGCACTTTTATTTTTTACTTATTTTTATTTTTTTGCACTTTTATTTTTATAGAAGTTCCAATTCCTGCGTCCTCTGGGGAAAAATAAATATGATATGACACCATGGGGCCCATCACCATTTGGCAATGATGGGCAGATGCTAACGAATGATCGTCTCCTTTAGATGCTCCCAGGCTGCCTCAGTCCTCACCCTGCCCAATTCAGACATTTATTCTCAACTTGGCATCTGCGTTTGCCAAATTTCTGCTCTAAAACTTTTGTTCCAAGAAAAATATCAGTGGGCTGAGAGCCAAAGACTAAGCTCTTGATTTTTGGTCCCTGCGGTGAAATGATCTGTTGGTTTCCTGTGCTGGATGGAGTAGGGGCTGTGGGTGGCCTTTCCCAGGGATAAGATCAGGCTTGACAGCCGGGGCTCCAACCAGGAGGGCAGAGCAGCACCAAGCAGGGGCTTCACCTTGAAGGCACAGCGTAAGTGGTCGTAGTAGACTTCCTCGATGGCCTGGAAGTAGATGACGCCTTTGAGCTTGGTCTGTTCTTTGTCTGATGGAGGGAGGTGAGGGAGAAACAGAGCCAGTGAGAGGTGTGTATGGTGGGGGGAGCAGGGGAGTCACTGGGCCCAAGTCCCGAGACTGGGGTGGGGGTGAGGAACATGGTGGCAGAGTCTGTAGGTCCCTAAAGTACTGTGGTTGGGAGGTGAGTGCATGTTGACGGGAGACTAGGAGGGAGACTGGTGTGGTGACTGGACAAGACCGGAGAATGAGGTCTGGGGAGTTGGAATCCTAGGTCCCCTAGTGCCTTGGCCCCTGAGAAGGGCAGGGACTCAAGGAGAGATTCAGCATCATTGATTCTCCTAGAGAGGAAGGAGGAGGGGCCTGGAACCTAGATTTGTGGGCTGGGCACTGGCAATGCTCCTCTAGGGCACCTTAGGAAAATGGGGTCTGGGGAGCCAGAGTGGTACAAAACTGTTACCCACGTTACTGAGGAGGGCTGGCTCACTAAAGGGGAAAGGGGCTGGGGATCCAGACTCGTGGGCCTGAGAGAGAAGGGGGCTGAGGGTGGGACGCCTAGGTTTCTGGGGTGAAAGTCTGTTGTGGTTTCTTCCAGGGTCCTGGGGGCCCGGGTCCCAAGGCAGCCAGGGTGGGCTTACCCGTGTAGTAGGCCAGGCGGCGGGCCTGGCGGTCAAAGCAGAACCACCGCTTCCTCCAGGTCTTGATGCGGCCTCCCATCTTCACCAGGGGTCCGCGGCAGTAGCCCCCAGACACCCGTATGTGCGGGCAGCTTTCCGGGTTGTGGCCCCAGCGTTCCAGGTGTTGCCGGAGATCCAAGACCCGAGGGCCAGGAGGGCGGGATGGGGCTGTGGGCGGGGCCTGGGAAAGCAAGAGAAGGGGGCAGTGACTTCATGGGGTGGGGGGGCAGGTCCTGCAGCCTGGACGCCCCCGAGGGGTGCTGGTCAGAGTAGCTCGAGTATAAGGCCCGGCACAGCCTTTCATTAACAATGACGATCAAGATGATATTTCCAACAGCTAAAGCGATGAACTGACACTCTGCCCAGGGCTTTACCACCATCCGTTCCTTGACTCCCCACGGCCACCCTCGGGTCAGGGCTACTATGAGCCCCATTTTTCAGATGAGCACACTGAAGTACAGAGAGAGAAAATAATCCACCCGAGGGCACACAGAGCTTCTAAGTGGCAGAGCTGGGTGGCAAACTCAGGTCTTCCTGACCCTAGCGCTTACCCTGAAACACCGGAGATGTGTTAGAGAAGTGATGGACCCTGGTGGGACCCTCATCTACTGTCTCTGTAAAACAGGGACCAGATAGTGAGTGATCAATAAATGAGAGCACTGTTTCCATTATTATTATTATTGTTATTATTCTTGTTGTGATGAAATTACTGATTATTACCTGTGCTAACAAAACACTTTATAGGTATAATCTGTGTCCCCTCAAACTCTCTTCAAGGGGTAAGTACATCATTGTCCCCATTTTACAGATGTGGAAACCAAGACTCCGAGAGGTTAAGTCACTAGGCCCAAGTCACACAGCCAGAGCTGACGAGCCAGGACTCCCCAGGCAGAGTGTCATCTCAGGAGGCCATAAAGGGGAGAAGAATGAAGGTGATCAAAGTGTCTACTGTTACAAGGCCCAGCCTGATCATACCTCTTCTTCCCAAATGATCCCTGCAAAGAATGGTATGATCTCCGTGGTCAAACTGAGGCCTCAGACTTCAGCATGCAAGGGGACCCCCTAGGGATTTTGTTAAAATGCAGCCTGGGATTCAGTCATTCTGGGGTGGGGGTCTGGGGTGAGGGTGAGGTTCTGCACGTCTAACAAGCTCCGAGGGAACAGGGACGCTGATGCTGCTGGTCCGTGGACCACAGTCTGAGTATCAAGGGCTGAAAACACTGAAGCAAGGCCAAAGCAAGAATGGATGAGAAACAGAGGTGAGACTCATTGGATGGAGACAGGGGAGAATGAGGAGGAGGGGAAATGGGGAGGAGCCGGGGAATGCACAGGAGGGGAAGGGGTGGTTAAAAGGGAACCCACCAGGGCTACCCTGGTGGCGCAGTGGTTGAGAGTCCGCCTGCCGATGCGGGGGACGCAGGTTCGTGCCCCGGTCCGGGAGGATCCCACGTGCCGCAGAGCGGCTGGGCCTGTGAGCCATGGCCGCTGAGCCTGCACGTCCGGAGCCTGTGCTCCGCAATGGGAGAGGCCACAGCAGTGAGGCACCCACTGGGTCATCTCACCAAAGCCACACGGTAACACTACTGATCACCACATATGGAAGGTCCCACTCTGTGGCTGGCACTGTGCCAAGTGATCACCTTGTTGCCTCTCCAAAACAGCCCATTATTGCCCCCATTTGACAGACGAGGAAACTGAGGCTTCTAGAGAGGAACTGACTCATCAAGGTCACCCAGGTAGGATGTGGGGGAGCCGGGCCCCAATCCAGGACAGCAGGGATGGGCTTGGGACTGTCAGCTCCCCCACTGCCCCCCCGTGTCACCTCCCTGGAACGCCTGCCCCTCTCGGAGCCTCGGTTTCCCTACACTGAAACTACACTGAAACTCGGCGGTGATCACAGCACCCTCCACATGGGGCTGTTTCACGGATGAGCTCGCTGCTGTCAGGCTCCCTGACCTGGTGATTCCACTTCCAGGTGCGAATCCCGGAGACACACTTGCTCACGGGCACGAGAAGGCAGCTTGAGCCGTAAGGGGGTGGGGTGGGGGAGACAGTGCAGTCAACAGGGAACCGTTTAATAAATGATGATGCTACACAGCAGGAGTGCTTCATTTTTAATGAGGTAGAGCTTATGCCTGAAACCAGAAGGCCCCACTGCCCTTCCCAATTTATTTTATTCCTGAACTCTTATCAGCACCTGACGTGCTACTTATTTTACTTACTGACGCTGCTTTTTGTCTCTCTCCCCTGCTACACGCCAGCTTCTCCAAGGGCAGGGATTGTCACTCTGGCCACTGCTATATAACCCAGGGCCTAACACGCAGTAGGCCCTCTGTAAATACTGAATATGAATGAATAAGAATATGCCAAATGGTTGAGAGAACCAAAAGCAGGTTGGGAATGATGTGCTCGATTACAAGGAAAATAAATTCACCAAATATGGTTTGATCGGTGTATGTAGCAAAGTATTAAAAAAAAAAGATTTGAACGCTTCTCCGCGATAGAAAACACCTGCACTTCCGGAGGTACGATGAGGGGAACTTCACTTTCCCCAATTCTGAAGTGTCTGTTATAACAAAAAGTATTCATGTTCTTAGTGTAGGTAGAAATAAAATTTTAATAAGGAGCTGTCAGCTAAATCCAGAGTGTGAGAAATTCTACAGGATAAGTGACTTTTCCCACAAATTAATGGCATTTTTTAAAGCAGGGAGGGAGGACTCTATCTCAAGGTTTTAAAAGACATTTTAACTAAATGCAGTGTGCATACTTTGTTTGGGTCCAGATTCAAATAACCAACTATAAAAAGACATTTTGGAGACAATTAGGGAAATGTGAATACGGATCATGTATCAGAAAGTTGCAGAATTATTAATAATCTCATAAACTATGACAGTGGAATTTTTGTTATGTTAAAAAAAAACCTTATCTATTGGAGATACATAGTGAGATATGAATGAAATGTCTGGAATTTGCTTTAAAATATTCCACTGCAGAGTGGGAATTAGGTGAGGATTCAGTACAACAAAGTTGGTAAGTAAAACAAGATTCAACACTGATGATCACTAGAGCTGCGTGGTGGGGGGGTACATGGAGGTTTATTACCTTTGAATATGCTTGAATATTTCTATAATCAGAAGTTTTTTAAAAGAATCAAATAAATAAAACAAAAATTCAAATAATATTTGAAAGCCCCAGCACGTGGTTACCCTCATTCTGCGGCAACTGCTGACTCTCTGACACCGGCACCCACTTACAGAAGAGGGGACCCAGGCACAGAGAATGGAGCATGTCACCCGAGGACACGCCACGAATACAGACGACCCTGATGGGAACAGGACCTAGGCCTTTCGAGTTCCCCTTCCACTTGCCAAGCCCAGGATACTTTCCTGTGCCGTTGGAGGAGACTGACAGAGTGAGATAAGACAGGGCAGAGGCCAGGGTGGCAAGACAGACCAGGGGAGTAGTGGTTGGGGAGGGTTAGGGGCGGGACTGACCATGATAGCAGGTACAGGGGGGTCTGAGGCACCTTCCGTGCTCCTTCTTGTCCCTTCCTGTGAGTGCAGAAAGAAAACATCAACGAGAATGCTAACCAATAATAAGTGGGAAAAACGTACTGGGTTCCTGGGTCTGAGGGAGGAGGGGCTGGGGGCCTGGATCCTGGGTCCTGAGGGAGGAGGGCTCAGGGGCCTGGACTCCTGGGTCTGAGGGAGGAGGGGACAGGGGTCTGGATCCTGGGTCTGAGCGGGGAGGGGCCGGGGGTCTGGAACCTGGGGCTGAGGGAGGAGGGAGGGGCTGCCGTCTCACCCTGGCCTGGAGCAGCCGCTCCCTCTCTGCCACAGCCTGCTGCAGGAGGTGTTCCATACGGGCAATGTCCGGGTGGAGGGCCCCACAACTGGGAGCAGAGAACAGAGACGCGCAGGTTACAGCAGCCCGACTTCTTCCCCCCATCTCCCCACCTTCTCCCTGATGTCTCACCTATTTCTGGGGCCACAGTTCAGCAGCTGATAGAGGGGGTGTCTCCCGGAGTCTCTGGCTGAGGGCGGGAGGGCCGAGGCCTCCAGGGCTCCTGCGGGGAGAAGGGCTGGGGGGCTGGGATGCTCCCGTGTCTAAGCCCCCCCACCTCTACCCCAACAGAGGCAACCAGGTTCCTCCATCCTGTGCTGCAGGAGGGTGGTTAATGGGGGAAGAGCCTACGCAGGGGAGGGGTACGTACTCACCAGTACAATAGAAGGACAGAGGCCGGGGGGATCCCCTCTGGCTCACTCTCTCTCCCCTCTTCCGGGGCAGGCTTCCAGTCCCCTGGAGGCCAATGGAGCCCTGAAAACACACAACACCCACGCACACAAGAAAAGATGCTCAGGCTCCACCATGAAGCTGGAGAACTGCCAAGTAAAACCACCATCTCACTGGCACAGATCAAAATGCCACTGCAAACGTGATGCTGAGTGAAAGCAGCCAGTTACAAAGGACCACACGGTGTAACGTCCAGAACGGGCAGATCCAGGGAGACAGGAAGTGGGTTAGCGGTTTCCAGGGCCTGGGAGGAGAGGGGAACTGAGGGGTGATGGCTAAAGGGTATGAGGTTTCTTTAGGGATAATGACTATGTTCTCAAATTGATTGTGGTGATGGCTGCACAACTCGGCGACTAAAAACCCCTGAATTGTACGCTTTAAACGGGTGAATTGTAGCACAGGTGAACTATATACCTTGATAAAACTGTTAAAGAAAACCCCAAAAGCCCGCAGTGTTGATGGGAGTGTGCGAAACCCAGGTGTGCTCCCACAATGCTGGGGGCCGTTTTATTGCAACAACCGTTATGGAGGCCAGTTTGGCTCCTTTTTTAAAGTCAATGAAAAAAAAAAAGAAAAGAAAAACAAACAAAAACAGAAAAGAAAATCAAAATGACAAATGCATAGGTAACTTTGAGCCCCAATTCCACTTCTAGGACTATATCTGTGGAGACACTCAGACATGTGCAAAATGACCTGATTTCAAGGTTAATCCCCAAAGATGCCCGGAGACCACCTAAGTGCCCGTCAAAAGGAGGCAGGGATAAACTAGGGATCATCTGCATGGAGGAAAACTCCAAAGCATATATAAAAAGGAGGAGGATGCTGTTTATATCAGACAGAATAACAGGGCTTCCCTGGTGGCACAGTGGTTGAGAGTCCGCCTGCTGATGCAGGGGACGCGGGTTCGTGCCCCGGTCCGGGAAGATCCCACAAGCCGCGGAGAGGCTGCGCCCGTGAGCCATGGCTGCTGAGCCTGCGCGTCCGGAGCCTGTGCTCCGCAATGGGAGAGGCCACAACAGTGAGAGGCCCGCGTACCGCAAAAACAAAAACAAAAAGAGGGGGAAAGTATATACATGACTGTTTAAATACAGAGGATCTCTGGGAAGACGGGAGACACTAGTAACCCTGGCCACCCCTGGGAGGTGAACTGTGCGGATGAAAACAATGGTGGGAAAGGTCTTTTCTCTGACTATCCTCCCATGACCTTTGAACTTGGAACAAAAGGAATATTAGTTCAAAAAATAATAATAAACATGATAACCAAATGCAACCTGTGTTCCTAGATCAGAAAAAAATTTTTTTTCTTTTTTTGTTTTTTGCTTAAAAAAAAATTGTGGGACAATTGGCAAAAATATGAATCACATCTGTGGACTTGAATGATATTGTCTCAATGGTAGCTTCTGAATGTGGTCGCTGTACTGTTGTTATGTACGAGAATGGCCTTGACCTTAGGTAATAAAAGTAGAAGTATTTAGGGGTAAAGGGGAATCATGCTTCAGGAAAGAATAATAAACTGTGTGTGTGTATGTGGGTGGGTGTGTACAGAGAGAGAATAAGAAAGCAAATGTCAAATGTGGTAAAATGTTAATCACAGAATCTGGGTGACAGGTATGCAGGAATTCTTTCTACTACTCCTGCAATTTCTGTAAGTCTTAAATCATTTCAAAATTAAAAAAACTACCAAAAAATGAAATTATTTGAGAGTAATAAAGACAGAAAACTGAAATAATTTCTTAAAGAAAAAAAGAGCAAAAACTCTGTGTGGATAATAAAAATAAATAAGTTGCATAATTTGAACACCAGTAGGGATACTCACTGCTCAAATATATGTAATCCACAAGTTAATAATAATACTAAAATAAAAATTGCATTGGTCACCTTGGAGGATGCAGGAGAACCAACTCTATTCTGAAGACAGGAGAATGAAGTGAAACCATTAAGCATTTTCCCTGCATTTCTTACAAAAACCATATCCCTGGGTAACCAAATAATTAATGAAGGCAAGTCCCTCTCTTTTTTTTCTTTTTTCTTTTTTGGCCGCACCACCCGGCATGTGGGATCTCAGTTCCCCTCCAGTAGAAGCTCAGAGTCCTAACCACTGGACCGCCAGGGACCCCCTGGGTGTGATTTTCTAGATTCGTATTATTTTAAAACGTTTTTTAGAATAGTGACTAACATTTATCAAGTGCCTAACAGTGTACTTGGCCCTCGGAAGACCATTTAAGCTTATAAAAGCCCTGGGAGTCGGGAAAGTTTCGCTCTGCTTCACAAAGAGGAAACCGAGTCCCAAGTTCCTGTGGTTCTTCACTCTTTCCTGCCTTCAACTGATATTCCCAGCACTCCCCAGCTGAGAGACCTCAGATTGTTGGCACTGAGAGAAGAGGTGGGTAAGAGAGACCCAAGCCTTGTCTCCATGGCGCTGACATTGTAGGAACTGAATGAGCCATCGTATAAATAAGTGTATCATCAGAAATTGCTGTGAGTGAAGAGTGTGTTATAAAACGGTGATATAAAAAAGGATCACCTTCCAACTGGAAGACCAGGAACAGCCTTCTGAACGCTGGACCTAAGGCCCAAAAGATAAGAGCTGGCCAGGGGAAACTCCCTGCGAGTCCAGCGGTTAGGACTCCGGGCTTTCATTGCCAAGGGCCTGGGTTTGATCCCTAGTCAGGGAACTAAGATCTCACAAGCCCTGTGGCGGGGCCAAAAAAAAAAAAGTTGGCCAGGGGAGACTGAGGGGAAGGGTGTTCCAGGTGGCAGGATCAGCAAGTGCAAAGGCCCTGAGGCAGGAACAAGTATGGAGTGCTGGTGGGTCAGTGCTCCTACAGCTGAGCAGTCAGTACAGGGAGGGGGATGGTGAGAGGTGGGCAGGGGTCAGACCACACAGGGACTTGTGGGCCATGGTGAGGAGACTGGGGGAATCATGGAAGGCTTTTGGTGGGAAGAGCTGAAGTAGGAGGGATGAAGATCACTCTGGCTGTTGTTTGGGGAATAAATTATTGGGAGACAAAAACTAAAATAGAGAAAACCGGTGAGGAGGCTGGTATAGGGTCACTAAAACCAGAGATGAGGGTGGGAGTGGGTGGAATAAGAATGATAAAATTACAATAATACCAATCAGTATAACTCTCATCACAGTAACAGGTGCCCACATTACTGAGCACCTGTTATGTGCCAGGCATCAATCACACTAAGAGTTTTAATGCATTAACCAATGAATACTGTTATTATTCCCATGTTGCAGCTAAGTAAATTGAGGCACAGAGCTGTCTCTAAGGTCAGCCAGCTAGGAAGTGGCAGAACAGGTACTGGAACCCAAGGTACTCTTAGTCATCACATGATCCTGGCAAGAAGGTATAGAATTTGAGAAGGATTTAATAGGACTTGGAGGGAGAGAGAGGAAGGGGCAAGGAGGAGTCATTTGTTAATCCCTGCATTCATTTATCCACTTGTATATGGTTTATCTGGCTGAGTAAATAAACACTCCCTGGGCTCCTCGTGTATCCCGAGGTCCCCGGTCGCTCCCTCTGAGCTGGTCTGACCAGTCACCCACTTAGGTTCTGAAGGATCCCTGAGAAATCCTCATCTCCTGAAAGGCACAGGCTGTGGAAACAGGCAGCCTGGCTTCAAACCTAAGCTCTGCTGCTTAGCTGGGTGTGTGACTTTGGTAAGTCACGGCTCTTCTCAGGGAGATTTCCCCCTCTGTAAAGTGAGCAACGTCCCGCTGCCCTGCCAGGGCTGATGCAAGGATTCAACGAGTGACCTCATGCAAAACACACAAAAGAGTGCCCAGCACGGCCACCAGCGTCCAGGGGTCAGTGTCTGGCCCCCAGGTGACACCCAGGTGCAAGGTGGGTGTTGGATCCACGCCGGTGGGTATAGGGTCCACCTGGCCTTAGAAGTTCCATGTACACAGGAGCCAATGACTCAGGTAACACCTCTATAGGAATGGACCCAGCTTCCCACCAAGTATTTATAGATATGCAATTTACTTATAAGGGTCATATTTACCCTAAGTCACGTTGCCTGGCAACACAGCTGACCGTCCACCTTTATCAAGCTTCCAGCTAGAAAGTTACAAAAGCTCTGCTAACCCTTTACCCAGATAATAACAAGACCTACTTCTGCAGGTCCGTCTGAGCAAAAAATAAAATTATATATACATAAAATTTCATGAATATGTAACATATATTATTGAATTGTATATCCATGAAACAATAATTATATAATACAATATTAGTATATAATAATATAATATATATTAGGTTGAATCACTTCAAACGGTCAGTATTTGACTGTTTCTCACCTCCAAATAATAGCAACTTCATGTGGCTCGAAGGCATAAGATGGCTTTGAGCAGATCCTGGCCTACGTTAAGCTCTTAAAATTAATATTAATATGAATATTGTTAATATTAATTAATAAGATAATGTTGCATATTATATTAGACAATAGAAACAATTAAATATTATAACAGACAACATTAATTAGATAATAATTGATATGAATTTGTTATTCTTATTGTGGGTACAAAGACACACATACATGGATCTTCCTAACAGCATTGCTTAAACTGCAAAAAAACTCCAATCGCTATCCTCAGAGGGAGGGCTGGCTCAGTGCCTCCACGTAGAAGTGTGTGCCACACAGAAGCTCAGAGTGGTTCAGAGCATAGGCTCTGAAAACAGAGTGCCTGGGTTCAAATCCCAGCTCTGCCGCATACTAGCTGCTTAAGAAACTTCCCCTTTCTGCCTCAGTTTCTTCATCTATAAAATGGAAAGAAGAACCCAACTTGTAGGGTTGTTGCAAAGACTAAATGAGTGAATCCACGTGAGGCATTTAAAACAGTGCCTGGCATGCTATGAAGACTCCACAAATGTTAACTGTCATTATGGTTGTTATTGTTTATATCATTATTACAGAGCCATTGAAAAGGAAGCGGCAGCTCTAAATGTCTCAGTGGAAAACAATCTCCACGACAGAGTCTTAAGCTAGAAAATAAAAGCCAACTAGTAGCTAATAGACATGTTTCTGAAAAAAACATTTACATGATAGAAAAAGAGCTCCCAATTTCTAAGCGCTGGCCCCCTATCCACATGACTGAAACAAAACTCTTTTCATTGACTATTCACCCCTACCTCACACATAGCACTCTGCCACTGTCTACTCTATTTCATTTTAAAAGTTGGTAGCCGGACTTCCTTGGTGGTCCAGTGGGTGACACTCCACACTCCCAATGCTGGGGGCCCAGGTTCCATCCCTGGGTTTCATCCCTGGTCCGGGAACTAGATCCCGCATGCTGCAACTAACAGTCCTCATGCCACAACTAAAAAAGATCCCACATTCTGCAACAAAGATCTCGCGGGCCACAACTAAGACCCGGCGCAGCCAAAATAAATAAATAGATAGATAGATAGTGATCGGCCTTCCCTCTCCCCCAGGCGCACCGCAGAGAAAGCCACAGTTACCAGTGAGACCCGGGGTGATGAGGCATTGGGGGGGCACCTGGAGGGAGCTGTGAATGGAGAAGAGGCAGGAAGAGGTGGCGGCGGCAGCGTGAGCAGTGGGGTCCTGGAGAACCAGCAACTGGCGATCTGTCTTCTGGGTGAACAGGAGCTGCAGGAGAACAGGTGGGGTGGCTGGCCACTGGAAGGATGCTCTGGCCCAAGCCTCCAGAGCCAGCCCATTTCTTGGATGGAAAAACAAAGGCTCAAGGTCCCAAGAGAGCTGAAATGTGGTCTCGGTGAGGGAGGACTATGGACAGAGATGGCTGGTTCCCTGAGGAACCTGGAGGCTGGACCTCCTGCATCCCAGGGGGAAAAGGGATTAGGGGTTGAGAATTGTGGATCCCAAGGGAGAAGGGGGCAGGGGGCCTGGACTCCTGGGTCTGAGGGAGGAAGGGGCTGACAGGCGCATGAAATCCCCATACCTTGGTGAGGGCCTGGCTGGGCTCAGAGAAGTCCTCGCCAGCGGTTCCCTGAAGGCAAGTAAGCTTGAGAAGTCTGCTCCGTTCCTAGGGGACAGCAAGACATCAAGGGCTGCCACGCCTCAGGGTCGGAAAGGGCCATCCCAGCAGCTCTCCCTGATGCCAGGAGACACCTGGGGTGCAGGGAGGCAATGGGATGCCCTAGGGGGAAGTGAGGCAAGTGGGACAGGTGCCTGGGGTGAACTTACCTGGGTCAGGGCCTGAAGGGCCTCCTCCTTCTTCTGGCTCAGCCCCCAGCTCTCAGCTGCCATCTGCTCCCCCAGTGACTTGAGCTGCTCCTCCAAGACCTGGATCCGGCGCTGCAGGGCACCCCCAGAGCCCTGGTTACTCAGCTGCCCCAGGGTCCCCAGGCTGGTTCCCCCAGAATCAGGTCCTCCTTGAGAGCTTGGGGCTTGTTCCACCCCATAACAGAGACCCTGGCATTTGGGTGCCTGGGAGGGGGTGGGGGACTTAGAGTTAACCTCCGTGGTGTCCTCTTCCCCTTTGGGGGGGTCCAGAGAGACTTGAAGTTGAGTTGGAGGGATGGAGGATCCAAAATCCAGAGACCGAGGGAGACGGAGACACAGAGAAAGTCACCGTTGCCAAGAACAGAGAGAGAAAGAAAGGGAAAGACAGAGACAAACCAGAAGAGATACAGAAAAGAACCAAGACAGACCCCAAAAGACAGAGATGCAGAGACAAGACAGAAACAGCACAGAAACAGACAGAAGCTGTGAGACAGAAATGGGAAAAGAGACAGTGACAGGAAAAAGGTCCAGAAATAGAGGTGGGGAAAGCAGACCCACATTAGAACTTTCTAAGCCAAAACCCTGGGAACCTTTGTATTTTTTTTTTTTAACCTTTGTATTAAATACAGTCAAAATGTTGCTTTTTCCATTGGGACTTGTCAGACCCTTGAATGTGAAGCCCCCAGAAAGGACTAGTGAGAGCATCATTTGGGATGAGGGCTTGAGAGGCAGGGAGCCTAGTGGCGAAGATCTAGTGGGTTCAGATCCCAGCTCTGTCCTTTATGAACTAAGTGACCTTGGAAAAGATTACTTGAACACCTTGACCTTGAGTTTCTTCACTTATAAAATGGGAAAAAATATTAAGACGTGTCTCCCAGGATTGTTGTAAGGATTCAATGACTCAATATTCGTGAAACATTTAGGACCAGCACATGGTAGATGCTCAATAAATGTCAGCAACTGTCATTACTATTTTGAAGTATGTGACACAGGGAAGACATGAGGACAAAGAAGGGAGCAGAGGAGACAGAGGGCAACGGCGAGGGAGGCAGGGCTAGCCCAGCCCGACTCACCCTGTGCTGCACCACGCTGGCCTGGAGTTCCTGGACCTTGGGGTCTAGTGCCCGGGCCCTGGGACTGTCCCAATCCTCCTCCCACTGGCTCTCCCGCTCCAGCTGCTGGAATTCCAGGTCCTCATAGGCACGCTGGGCCACATCCAGCTGTTCCTTCATCTGTGGGGGAAACACAAAAAGGCTGGAGGCCTGGACCCCTAGGAACCAGGAGGGTAGTGGGCTGGGGCCGGGAATCCTGGGCAATGAGGGAGGATGGGGCTGAGGATCAAGATTCCAGAGTCCTGGGGGTTAGGGAGCTGGCGCCCGAGCTACTAGGTGAGTGGGAAGCAGAGGACTGAGGGCCTGGATGTCTGGGTCCTGAGTGGCCTGGACACCGGGTCCCTGAGTGGGTCCAGTGGACCCTCACCTCCTGCACTCCCTGCAGAAGCCGCTCACGCTGGTCTTCCGGCTGCAAGTCGAGCTGCCCCTGGGCCTCCCGGAGTCTCTGGCGAAGACCCTCCACACGATCCCGCTCCTGGCTCAGGTGCCTCTGTTCCTGAATGAACAATCAGGCTCTTAGCCTCCGCCTGAGCACAGGGAGGGAAACAGAGGCCAGCGGGGGCCAGGCCAGCCAGATCTCAAATCCTCCCTGTCTGGGGTGTTGGCTCTATGAGGGCAGGGACCCTGTCTGACTGGTTCACACTTACACAGGCCCACCCAGGGCAGGTGTCAAGTAAACAGCTGTTTAAGAAATGAATGAGGGGACAGATGAATGGATAAAGAAGATGTGGTGTATATATACACAATGGAATATTACTCAGCCGTTAAAAAATGAAATAACACCATTGCAGCAACACGAATGGAACTAGAGATTATCATATTAAGTGAAGTAAGTCAGAAAGAGAAAGACAAATACCATATGATATCACTTATATGTGGAATCTAAAATATGACACAAATGAACTAATCTACGAAACAGAAACAGACTCACAGACATAGAGAACAGACTTGTAGTTGCCAGGGCTGGAGATGGGGGAGGGATAGATTGGGAGTTGGAGTTAGCAGATGCAAACTATTATATACAGAATCGATAAACAAAAAGGTCCTACTATATAGCGCAAAGAACTATATTCAATATACTGTGATAAACCATAATGGAAAAGAATATGATGAAGAATGTATATATATATACATATAACTGAATCACTTTGCTGTACAGCAGAAATTAACACAACATTGTAAATCAACTATATTTCAATTAAATAAGTTAAAAAAAATGAATGAGGGAATGAGTGCAAAATATATCCAGGCTGGGTGATTGATACTGGGGACCCAGAAGGGGGTCTGACCTGGGCCCTGTGCTCCAGCAGGGGACACAGCCAGTTACAGTCTGGGACAATCAGGGCAGTGAAACACAGAGACTGTGGGAACCCAGAACGCGGGGAGCAATTTCTACTGGGGTAATCCTAGGCTTCCTGGATGTGAGGATTTTAAGGTGAGTCTCAAAAAAACAGGGAATATTTGGGAATTCCCTGGCGGTTCAGTGGTTAGGGCCCCATGCTTCATTGCAGGGGGCATGGGTTCGACCCCCGGTCAGGGAACTAAAATCCCACATGCTGTGTGGCGTGGCCGGAAAAAAAACCCCAAAAAAACAGGGAGTATTTAGACTAGTGGAGACAGAGGGGGCTGGAAGGGCATTTTGGATAGAGGGGAACAGCACGGAGCAAATGAATGGAAGTTGAAAAGTACAGGAAGTGTAGGGACAAACTCTGGTCAAGAAGGGAGAAGGTGGGGTAGAGGGAAGAGATGGGGAGCACAGGTGGGACATGACAGTGGAAAGGCAGGCAAGGTGCAGCTCACATTCGGTTTGGCCCACCAGGCTGAGGAGCCCTTATCCTGGGGCAATGGGGAGTCATAGAAGGATTGAAAGGATCTAGGTGTGGAATCATCCCTCTGGGAGATAGACTTGAGGGGTTGAGACCAGCTCCTTCATGAGTCCTCCAAGCAATGAGTGAGGTGAGGTCTGAGCAGTGCAGATGTAAAGCAGGCAGATTAGAAAGAGAGGTTCAGGGAGCACAAAGAACAGGACCTGGTGACTGACAGGCTTGGGGTGAGAGATAAGGAGGCACGCAGAGCGAGGCTCAGGACTCTGACCTGGTGGCCAAAGGGACAGTGAGACAGGGACAGTGTGGAAAAGGGAGTTGCTGAGGTCAGCTTTGGATAAGGTGAATGAGAAGGGGCCAGACTCCTGAGTCTGAGGGAGGAGGGGCTGGGGGCCTGGACTCCTGGGTTAGAGGGAGGAGGGGCTGGGGTCTGGAATCCCAGGTCCTGGGGGAGGAAGGGGCATCTAGGAACCAGTATCCTAGGAAGTGGGACACGTAGGTCTACATTTTGAGAGAGAAATCAGGGCTGGGAGAAATATAGGCTCTTTGAAGTAAACGAAGACTCAGGACCCAGCCCCAGGAAATTCCAATATATAAGGGCAAAGAGAGAGTTTGATAGAATTACAAAGTTACCATTTTCCAACCTATAGTGCCAGCTGGTCCAAGCAATGACCACCAATGGATGTTAAAGCCTTTAGGTAAATAACTATTATGAAGGGATCAGACTGACCTCACTGAGGTCTGGAGGACCAGAGACAATGTCCCCCTGACCCAGCACACAGGAAGCACTACAGCACATCTGAATTTGACCCAGCCTCTACATCTAACCAACCACCCGCTTCCAGGAAGAGAAATGAGATAAAGGACACCCCAGGCATGCAACCGGTCACACACTGACCATGGAACAGAAGACTTGGTTTCTCCAACAAATAGTACAGTAAGCAGGGACCATTAGACGTGAAATAATACACACAAGGCATTTCACCAACTACAATATACTGGCCTTTGGGGGACCAGATTCAAACAGCCAACTGTTAGCTGTTTTTTTTTTTTTTTTTTTTTTTTTTTTAATTAATTTATTTATTCATTATTTTTGGCTGCATTGGGTCTTCATTGCTGCGCGCAGGCTTTCTCTAGTTGTGGCGAGGGGAGGCTACTCTTTGTTGAGGTGCATGGGCTTCTGTTGTTGTGGAGGACAGGCTCTAGGTGCATGGGCTTCAATAGTTGTGGCATGTGGGCTCAGTAGTTGTGGCTTGCAGGCTCTAGAGTGCAGGCTCAGTAGTTGTGGCCCACAGGCTTAGTTGCTCTGTGGCATGTGGGATCTTCCCGGATCAGGGCTTGAACCCGTGTCCCCTGCATTGGCAGGCAGATTCTTAACCACTGCACCACCAGGGAAGTCCCTGTTAGCTGTTTTTGAGACAACCTCGTACCCATGAAAACTGACTGGAAATGAGATGGTATTAAGAACTTATTAATTCTTCAGGTGTGACAATGATATGGGGATAATGATTTTTAAAAGGAGTTCTTATCTATAAGATAAGAACTAAAGCATTTACAGGCAATATGATGTCTGGGATTGGCTTTCAAAACTAGGGACAGGGAAGCCAATCAGGGGATAGGAAACAGGAATGGAGGATTAATCCCTGCTGAAGCTGGGGAGCACGCCACCTGGCAGCCCGTCTGACTCCTCTATCTTTGTTGGTTTGACGTTTTTCACAAGATGACATTTAAAGAGCAGAGAGAGATGGGGCAAAGGAAGATGAAGCAGTGAGTCAGGCCCTAAAGTCATGGACAAGGAGGGAGGAGGGAAACAGGAAGAGGCATAGGCCCACTCCCCGCGCCCTGCCCCCAGCCCAAGGATCCCCGTTTGGGGAATGGGGATAACCTCAGGGCCCAGGGCCCAGAAGCACCACAAGGAATGTCTATCCAACAAGGAAGAAAACTGAGGAGGAAGACCCAGCAGGGCAAACAGACCTGTTCCCGCTGCTCTTGGACGCCCTTTTCTGAGTCCACCTGCTGCCCCAGCAGTTCCCAGAGCTGCTCCTCCTCGCGCCAGACGGCCACTCGCTCCCCAGCCAGTTCACCCCGAAGCAGGGTCACCTCCACCTCCATCTGCGGAGAGAATATAAGGCCTGGGACCCAGAGGCCTGGGTCTGAGTAGGAGGGGGCTGGGGGCTCGGACGCCTGGGTCTGAACGAGGGACCTGTGAATCTGAACTCCTGGATTCAGAGAGAGGATGGAGCTGGGCTCCCGCAGTTGGAAAGGACCGGGAGTCTGGCCCTGCGGGGTTCCCCAATAGTTGGGAGCAGAATTCCCAAGAGGTCTGCAGCCTCACCTGGATCCTCAGTTCCTTCCTCTGACGCTGTAGCTCCCTCACTCGATGCTCCAACAAAGCCACGCGAGTCAGTGCCTCCAACTGCTGGGCTCTAAGCCGCCGCGCCGCCCCTCGCACCCCTTCCCCAGCCTGAGAGGCTGCGGGTGGCGTGGCTGGGATCTGAACGGAAGGCGAAGCCTCCACCTGCGGTTGAAGAGGGCGTGATCAATTGGGGAGGACTCGCCCCCTGCAGTCACTAAATAGGTCTGTTCTCCATCCCAAACATCCCCTCAGGCGGTCTGAGTCGGCGTTTAACTCTACCACCAAGTTCTTTTAATTCAAGGAGGGGAAGGTGCAGGTCCAGGGATCGCTCGGCCCCGGGAGGTGGCCCAGGGGCTCGCAGTGCCCAGGGGCACAGAGCCGACACAAGGATGGTGTTTCTTTTTCTTTATCCAGTTCCCATACTCTTGGCGTCACGTCTTCGAAGGTCCTGCATCTCTTTCTCTCCCCCCGGGTCTCCTTGAGTCTTTCCCCCTTTTTTCTGGGCTTCATCTTCCTGACCCAGTATCTGTCTTCCGTCTCTGAATCGCTATTTCTCTTTCTCCCTTGGAGTATCTCCGTCTCTCAAGGTTTCTCTGTCTCTCTTTCTGTTTCTCTGAGCATCTTTGTTTCTGAGTCTGTGTCTCTATCCCCATCTCTCTGAGTCTCTGTCTCTGGTCTTTCAGTGTCTCTAACTCTTTTGGGTCTGTCTCTCAGTCTCCCTGTCTCTGTCTATCTGGTCTTTCTATACCTGTCTCTCTGTGTCTCTGTCACCCGTTTGGGTCTGTCTCTCTAGGTCCCCCCGTGGCTCTCGCCCTCCGGGTCCCTCACCGCATCGCGGCTGCTCTCCGTGCTGCTGCCTTCTCCCGCTTCTTCCTCTTCCTCCGTCTGCTGCTCAGCCCCTTGGCCGCTCGGAAGCTCTGCTGGGGCCTCGGGCACCTCCTGCTCGCGGGAGTCCTCGGGGAGCTCCCGGGGCTGGGCGGCCCCTTGAGATCGGACCTCCGCGTCGCACTCGGGGACCGCGGGCGGCGGGGTCCCCTCGTCCGGGCTGCTCCGTGTCTCCATGGCCTCTGCGGACTCCTGTCGGGTGGGCGGAGCCTGGAGTTCGGGAGGCGTGGCCCGGTAGCGTGGGGGCGGGGCCCAGGAGGGCTCAAGGCCCCGCCCGAAAGCTCTGGAGAGCGCTCCAGAGGCGGGGCCTAAGAGTTCAAAGGAGGCGACTGAGCATTCCTGAGGCTCGGCCTGGAGTTTCTAGGGGCGGGGTTCGATGGCTCCTAGGGCGTCACTCCCTCGGAGGCTTGACCAGAATTTGAGTCCGGGGTCCTAGTCCGTCCCCTACCGGCCTCTCCCTGCTATCCAGGTGTCGAGCCTTGTACTCTCCCAGCAGCCCCGCACAATCCCTTGGACCACTTTAGAGGGACCCCAACACCTTCTCCTTCGCGGACTCAGGAGTCGGGTTCCGCCGCGTCCTCTCTGGAGCCCAGTAATCTCAGCTCCGACCCCACTGTGCAAGGGAGCGGGCCCCCTGCCGCCTCACCGAGGGATCCAGGAGTCGGGGCTCCTGGTCTCCCTCTGGACGAACCAGGGGCCTTGAATCCTCGGCTCCTCCTGGAGCTAGATTCCAGAACTCCAGCCCCCTCCACCACCCAAGCCCTGGCCCCCTCACCGGCTCAGGCTTCGGCGCGCTCCCTTCTGCGCTCCGGCGCTGCAATTTCTGCCCACTAGACAGGTGGCTGGAGAAGAGGGAGGAGAGAGAGGCTGCTCTGTCCCCCTTCCCAGCAGCCCGGAAGTGGATGGGGACAACAGGTCCAACAGCTCTCGAGGGAGGAGGGAGCGACCAGCTTGCCCCGCCCGCAGCCGCGGCATCCGGCCATCCCGGCCCCACCCTCGGAAAGCCCAGCATGACGACCCCCCAACTCTGCCTCCAGCACCCCCATTCCTCCCCCCTGGAGGGCCAGGCGCCTTGGTCACCTATGTATAATGTCCAGACCCTGGGAATCCTGAAAGGAAGAGAGGAATGGAGATAGGGGCCTCTCCCCTCTAACGAGCCCTTTAGAAGGGCCCCGACCGGTTTGGGGAGCTGGGCAAGGGGAGGGGGGTGCCCTGAGCTGAGTCAGAGACCCGCCCAGAGACAGGGGGAAGTATGTTCCCCCCACCACCACTTTGCTATGGGTGGAGGGCGAGGTTAAAGGTCTCAGCCAGACCCTTTCCTCTCTGGGCAAAAACAGGAAAATAACTGGTATGTGAGAAAGGATCACTGGATATCAGGAGCTATGTGTATAAAGTATAAACATTTTACACGCATTAATTTATTTCATCCTTACAGCGGCCTACAGTAGAGAAAGGGATTACTATCTCCATTTTATAGTTAGGAAACTGAGGCTGAGGGGGACAAGTGTCCGCAAAGTCTACACATGTTAATGTTAACACCATATTTGTTTTCTCGAAAGTCCATGGTCTTTACCATTAGGCATCCTGTCACTCAAGCCAGGAGGTGCCTCAGAGCTCATTTCAAATGATAGTAACAGTAATAGTGAACACTGATAGGAAGTCTGCTGTGCAGGCAGTGTACCAAGCACTTCATACATATGGACTCATTGGATCATCACAACACCCTATTATTATTACTATTATTCCCATTTTACAAATGAGGAAACTGAGGCTTGGAGAAGTGAAGTACCTTATTCTGGGTCTCATGGGGCAAGTAGTTTAACTTAAGACTGTTCTAATCCAAGGAGCTGAGGAACCCTGCCCCAGATATCTGTTTGCTTCTATCTTATGAGTTAGAAAATCTCCTTCCAGGCTCCCAGGACCTTTACGTGGCCTTGCTCCCTGGCCTATCCAGGGACCACAACTAACCACAGGCATCTCAGCCCAGAAACCCATTGGGTCCCCCAGAAAACAGAAGTCAGATTCAGAGGGAAAAAAATATATATTTTTTTTATTTAAGAAGCTTGAGAGTCTGGTAAGGGAGGGGAAGATAAGAGAGGCTCTGGTGATGGCACTGTGCCCCTCACCCCACCTAGTGCCTTATTAACTGGATATGAGCACCTGAGAGTCAGGAAGCGGGTGTCTGGATCCCACAGCGCATGTTAGCTGGAACCGCAAAGTCTGAAAGGAAGAAGCTAAGGGTGAAACCAAGGGGCCCAGGCAGACCCTCCCGCTCTCTCTATGCCCCCACTGGGGACCCAGAAATCCTAATAGTCCTTCTTTGGGAAACTAGAGTTCTGGCCCTGAGGCCCCTCCATCCCTCAGACCCAGGAGTCCAGATCCCCAGCACCTTCTCCCTCAGACCCAGGAATCCAGACCTCAGCACCCTCCTCCCCCCCAACTGCTCACCTATCTGCTGAGGTTTGGGCAAGTTCAGTTTGCTCATGACCTTGACAAACTCCTCACAGCTGAGGGTGAGCCGAGGGTTTAGAGTCCGCTCCTCCTCCACAGTGGATACTGTGAGTCCTAGTGGCCAAGAGAGGGGGAGGAATGTTGAGCCGTCCAGTGCCTTGGGCCTCCCAGAACTACATTTCCCAGGAGGCCTCAGGGTGCCTTTCTGGCTCAGGACTAACAGATTGCTTTCCCTCCTCAACGGGCACTATGGGAAATGTAGTTTCCCACAGTTCCCTAAGTTCTATAAGGAAGTCCCAGGAAAGCCTATGCCTTCTAGATTCTAGGCATCGTAGTTTCTACATCCACACTCAGTACACCTAAGCACTTGATCTTTTTGGCCAGAGGAGTTCCTGGGAATTGTAGTCTGCAAGCCACAGCAGTTTGGTGCTCCCTCTCAAATAGTAAGTTATGTAAATCCCACACCTCCTCCAGGAAGCCCTCACCATGGTAATCATGAGCAGGGTAGATCAGACAGTCTCCTGGAAGTGTGAAGATCTTTTCATGAACTGAGTGGTACAAGGTCTTAGCACAGCCTGGGGAGGGAAAACTCAGAGGTCAGTGGAGTAACAGGATGAGAGGAACTCCCAAATCCCTTCCCTTTGGGAAAAGGAGAGGATAAAAATCACTGTAGCTAAACCGTCTCCCTCATTTTCTGCCAGTAGTCCTTTGACTGGGTAGAGAAGGAGAGGGAAGGGCATTCTAGGCAGGTGGAACAGCATGTGCAAAGAATTGGGAAATGGTGAGAATCCAGCATGACTGTAAACAAGGTTAGGATATGACCCTGAAGCACCAAATTCCCTCACTCTGGGGATGCCAAGAAAGGATTCTGGGCAGGGAAAGTGGATGGGAAGATAAGAAACTGAAGACATTAGGCCAAAGAGGAGGATAGAGCCATGGTTCTGACAAGAAGCTCTGAGTCCTAAGTTGGGACAGGGACAAACCTCTCTGGAACGTTCTGCCACCTTTCCTTTCAGCCTAAATCTTTCAATCTCATGACTGGGTTGGGGATGGATAAATGGAAGATTAGGAGCCTCAGAGAGAAAAAGATAGAGACCAAGATGGAGAGATAAGGAAAGAGGAAGAAAGAGGCAGCCTGGGGATCTGGTTACCCACGGCCAGCTCAGCTCGCTGTGGCTCTGTCTCTTCTCTCTCGTCCAGCCTTGCTGGCCTCCTGCAAGGCAGCTAAATCCTCCCAATCTAGTGTCCACCTCACATTCACACACATACTCAAATCTCATACCCTGATATTGTGAAAGTAAACACCCTTCCCGCAGCGAAACCCCTTAATTTAATTGCCCCCAGCAGCTAAACCCCAAATGTAACACCACCTCCTAGCAATTAAACCACTGAATCTAGCAACCTTCTAGCAGCTAAATTGCCAAATCTAACTTCCCCCAGCAGCTAAACCCCTGAATCAAACTCCACACCCCTCCCTGCACCAGCTAAACCCCTTACGGGGAGTTAAAAATATGCCCATGAACACTTTGAAACTCTTCTCTTGAAAATGTGACACATAATTCCCCTTGCCTTGACTTAGTGGTCTGGACTAAGTGACTTGCATCTAATAAATAGGATATGGCAGAACTAACAGAGTTTAACTTCTGAGATAAGCTCATTAAAAAAAAAAAAATTAGGTCTTCTGTCTGCCTGTCTCTCTGAAGGTTCCCTCTGGGACAATCCAGCTGCCATGTCATGAAGACACTCAAGCAGCCCTACGGAGAAGTCTGCATTGTGAGGAACTGAGCCCTCCTGCCAACAACCAGCGTCAGTGAGCCACCTTGGAAGTGGATCCTCCAGCCACAGTCGAGCCTTCAGTCAGCCCTGGCCAGCAGCTTGGTTGCAAGCTCACACAAGACCCTGAGCAAGAACCATCCAGTTAAGCTTCTCCCAGAGTCCTAACTCTCAAAACCTGTGTGAGAGGATGTTAATCATTGTTTTAAGCCACTAAGTTCTGGGGTGATTTGCTTTACAGCAATAGATAACTAACACACACTCTTGACTCTAACTGTCCCCCAACCACTAACCTCTGAACCCAACTCTCCTCCACTCCGGCAGTAAACTCCTTGAATCTAATCCTGACCCCCTAAAAGTCTAACATTCATCCATTCATTCTTGCAACTGACACTTAAAACCCTGGCACCCACATAATCATACTAAGATCTCGGGCTGGGGAAAGGGGCCTGTGACCTTGCTGGAAGTCTGTCCGCCCACACCCTCGGATAAGCAGGGCATCTCCAGTGAAGGCCATGCTGTGGTCATCCAAGACGAAGGTGACACAGCCTGGGGTGTGGCCCGGGCTGGCCCGGGTCTCCAAGGCCTGGAAGAGAAGGAGAGTACAAAGTCACCAATAAGGCTGTGGCTTTACTCTCATGGTGAAACTGGCCTCAGAAGCCCCCCACCCCATCCCATCCCAGGGTCACATCTAGATAACCTCTTTTTGATAAAAAAAATATTGAAGTTAGATCCCGGACTTAAACCTCACTCCAGAGTAAACTCCCCAAAAATTAAAAACTTAAAGCAAGAAAATAAAATCATAAAACAGATACAAATAAATATATGATCTCTGGTTAGAGAAGAACATCCATCCCAAAAGTCATAAATCATTAAGGGAACGATCAATGGTTTGAATTTAAATACATTTGATGTTTCTGAATGGCAACAACATCATAAACAAAATTTAAAGGGAATCAACATGGTGGCCAAATATATTTGTAACACAAACACACCACATAGTAGTCAGTGCACTTTATGTACAAACAGATCTTATAAATCAGTAAGAAAAAGATGAGCACACTAATATAAATATGGAATACTAAACAGTCATTTCAAATTGTCAATGAAATAAAATTCGATGATGCTATACACAAACACTTAATGGCAGGAAAAGATATTTACTATCCCGTAAGTTCAAAAAACAGGTTACAAAGCAACTTATACAATGTCATCTCTTAAAAAAAATTTTACTCATAACTCAAAATATTTTTTTTCTTTAGGCTTTTCCTGTATCATCTTTTTTTTTACAGTAAACATGTCATTTTATTTATTTATGTATTTTTAAAACACGTCATTTTATAATAAAAAATAAAACACAAAATTCACGATAAACGAAAGATCTAAACATAGAAAACCCAAAACATTCTAGAAGGAAATATAGAAGAATATATATATTTATAAATACATATATATTTATATATATAAAATCTTGAGGTAGAAATGGTTTTTCTAAGCATGATAGGAAATTCAGAGGCCACAAGGAAAAACAGGAACAGATGTGACCGCATAGTTTTACTTCATTACAGAAAAAGGCAAAAATCAGAGTGACAAGACGAAAAAACTCAGAGACAACATTAGCACATGTATAAGAGAGTATTAAAAAGTGTGAATAGTCATAATATATAAACA